CATTGAGGTACGATGGCTGTAGCGGCCGCCCATCAGGCTGTTGAAGCTCTAGGAATTCAGATCCTCGGTAGGTTGGATCCTGGAAAGTGGAGCTCCACGAATCTAGGACTGAGTGCGCCGCTCGAGAGCAAAGCGCGTCTATAGAGTTGTCTGTCTTACGACGTCCAACCCTGACTTTGAGTTCGGTGACATACTTGTGTGCTTCACCATGAATATCCCACCGCAGTGCGGATGGGACATAGACGAAGGTAATGCGGCGGAGATCATCCGCCTCAAACCACTCTTGAAGAGCACGACAAACTGACAGGCTAAAAGCCTGACCAGAATGCACGCCGGGTCAACCGCTCTATGGGCTGAGCCCATAGAGTCAGTAAAGACCATAATATGTTGGCAGTTTGCCTGGTATTCGAGGGGTTAGAACATCAAGAAGATGACGATCACCACGCGAAAATGATAACTCGAACTTTTTGCTCGTTCTTGGTCTCATATATCATTCGGACCTACATAAATACATAGACGATGATAAGTTAATCAATTACCGATGATAAATGAAAATATTTTTGTCATGTCTCGAGCGGAACACGGGATGGCCGGACTGCCTGCTCCAGCCAATCAAATCGTTTACGGCGTTCACCAGATAAGCCATCAACGACGACAAGAGTCGTTGATCCTCATCTTCGACCACCACCTGGCCTCTCCCCTCTTCACCCAACACCCCAAACAACACCTCAAGACTGAAATAAACGATAAGTAATCTGTTTTATTCATGTTTTCATACTCTAATACACCTTTAATTCAACCTTAGGCCAACGAATGTCGACTTGAAGTCGACGTTCGTTTTCCATGCTTCTCTGGCCCCTCCCCTTCAATAGGGATGTGGGCTGGGGCAGGAACCCCATCCCTCCGTCTCTCGCCTCACCTCTCGCACCCCTCCCCTTCTATAGGGATGTGGGCAGAGACAAGAAACCCCTGCCTGGGTCCCCTCTCGCACCCCTCCCCTTCTATAGGGATGTGGGCAGAGACAAGAAACCCCCGCCTGGGTCCCCTCTCGCGCCCCTCTCCCCCCCTCCATCCTCAAGCTCCCCACCACCTTCCACCTCTCATCACCTGTGCCCTCGCTCTTCACACCTCCCCTTGAAGAGGGACAAATATCAAAACGAATGACGCATGACGACAGTGACAAACGACAGCGGTGACAAACGACAGCGGCAATGAACAACAACAGTGGGCGACGAAAGACGATGGACGATGGACAGTGGGCGACAAACAGCGGCGGCAGCACGACAATGAGGACGGGGCACGGCAGAAACAGCGTGTTATAGCACCCCATTTCTGCTCATTTTACCTATATTTTATAGCGGGTGGCCCTACTAGCCACCTGCATCCTGTATTTTTTTCCTGTACAATTTAATATGATTTTTTTGTGCATTTTTTGCTGCAAAGGGCAGGGGAGCGGAAACGATGCGTACGATGTGTCGTTTCTACTCGTTATCTCCTTATCACATAGTGGGTGGCTGGTAGAGCCACCCGCATCATGTATATATTTTATTTCGATTTAATATGATTTTTTTAAATAATTTTTTCGTGTGCTTTGAGGTGCCCCCGAGCTCGCCGGACATCATGACAGACGCTGGCAAGAGCATTATAGCATATGTGTCATGGTAATTACATGATGATCTAAAAATAGTACAAGGGCCCAAAAAAAGGCCGCATCATCCAAACGCACCTGGCCCAATCCACCCATTCCCGCCCCCCGACAATGGGGGAAACGGTGCACAGCGACGAGGAAATATGTTTCCTCATCGTTGGCAGCTTTTCCCCATCGAAAACGGGGGCGGGAGCACCCCAAATGACAAGGAACAGTGTCCGAGCACTGTTTCCTGCATTGTTTGCATGTATTGACATGCCCTGCCCACAGCCACGAGCCCCAGCACACACAGCAAGGCCCTCTCCATAGGTGGACTGTAAAATCACAGTCCTGACATATAAGCATACCTTGTTAAAATACAGTGTCTGATATAGATTTCTAGCAGACATGGCTGGAGCACCTCGCTGCTCGTGTGCATTCTCTGCCGCCCTTCATTTATATGGCAGGCAACTTCAACTGTGTGTCAGCAACTTGGGATGACTATGAGCATGGCGAGTCATCAACAGCGATATCCCTGCAGGACACTGCATCTCAGATCGGCCTTGAATGGGCCTGACCTTCTAATCATGGACCAACGAGGATCAGTCCTAATCCAAACCAGAGATCCAATGTGTTGGATCTTGTATTCCTAGCTCCATCTGAGATCTTAATCTCAATGCCCAGATTGGAGCACGATCTCCAGGGTCCGTCAGATCATGTCCTGATCTGCACAGATCTTGATGTCGGTCCTGAACTGCCTGGATCTGGGCGTCAGACAATTAAACCTGGAAGCGAGGCTGAGAAGTCTTTCATTTTGGACATCCTCTGGGATCTTGCGGCTATTCCTGTCGCAGCCCTGGCAACCAAGGAAGGCATTGAAGCTTTAGCTGATGCTATCGTGACAGCATTCTTGGACACATGGCTTGCCCACTTGACCGAGTCCAAACCTACCAAGCGCTCCAAGTCCTGGTGGATGGATGAGTGCTTGGAAACATTCAGAGTATATCAGTTGGGCCATTCACTAGCTGATTACAACAAGTTCAGGAAGGCATGTAAGGATGCCAAGCATGACTTCTTTGATGAACACATTGCAGAAATTGCTACTTCTCGCAAGCGCCCGTGGGACCTGATGGAGTGGGTCAAACAGTGCAAGCTACCACCCTGTGAGGCTATTTGCAATGGCGACCAGCCTTGTCATGATATGGACGACCTCTGGGATGTCCTTCACGGCACATACAATTCAGCTTCTGGTCAGGAGTACTTGTGAGGCTATTCGCAATGGTGATCAGCCTTGTCATGATATGGACAACCTGTGGAACGCCCTCCATGGCATGTACAACTCGGCCTCTGGTCGCGAGTACGACGCCTCTGTCTTAGATGAGCTTCCTGATGAGCCAGTCCGTGAGTGGGCTGACTTCTCGGAGCATGAGTTGTTGAGTGCCCTTAAGGGGTGCTCCAACTCCTCTGCACCAGGACCGGACCATATCACATGGGTCCACCTAAAGGAGTTGCTCAAGGATAAACATGTCCTTGCGCTCTTCATCGTGTTGGCCAATGCTTGCCTCCGGGTGGGTCATTGGCCTCGTATATTCCAGGAGTCGCTATCGGTTATCGTTCCAAAGCCACACAAGCCCTCCTATGCTGTGCTGAAGGCTTTCAGGCCGATCGTACTCCTCATCACTTTCGGTAAACTTATCGAAAAGATGATTGCCAATAGGATACAGTTTGACGCTGTCAAGCATGATATCTTTCATCCTAACCAGCTTGGTGGCATTCGCCAAAGGTCAACTGAGGATGCTGGATTGATTCTGACTCATCTTGTGCATGCAGGGTGGGTTAAGGGTCTCCAGACTAGCGCGCTGGCTTTTGACATCGCGCAGTTCTTCCCTTCTATCAACCACGAGATGTTCATGGCTGTACTTCACAAGCAAGGATTCTCACCCGTTTTGGTGGAGTTCTTTGCTTCATATCTTGTTGGTTGGTCCACAGTGTACTGTTGGAACACCTTCCAATCTGACTCATGGTCTGCAGATGTGGGTGTCAGGTAGGGCTCTGCTCTCTTGCCTGTTATCTCAGGGCTTTTCATTGCTCCAGTGATGAAGCTCTTCTACATCAAGGCAGCACCACTCAACACAACACTACTCTCCTTTGTGGACGATGGGACCATTTTGGCCCAATCCAAACACCTTGATGATAATAATGTGGGTCTGCGTAAAGCCTACAAAATTATCTACCTTCTCTTTGTTGCTTTCACACTCGTTCTTGAACACGACAAGACTGAGTTGTTCCACTTTTCACATTGACGTGATGCCTATAATCCCTCACTGGATTTGGGGTACGCCCCACATACAGGCACTACACCTTTGAAGCCCAAGACCTACTCGAGGTACTTGGGCTTCTACTTTGACCGCAGGCTCACGTTCCATGAGCACGTTCGCTATTATGCCACCAAGGCATTCACCACAGTGCAGGCCATGCACATGCTCGGAAACTCTACCAGAGGACTTTTGCCTAAACAGCGACGCCTCCTTTATAGATCGTGCGTGGTTCCCATTGCCACATATGGTTATCGTCTCTGGTATTTCGATGGCACCCATAATAAGGGCGCAATGAACCAGCTAAAATGGATGCAGCGAAAAGCTGCTCTATGGATCACGGGTGCATTCCGCACCTCCCCTACAGGCGGTCTCAAGGCCTTAGCAGGTCTCATTCCCGTCCATCTTATGCTGAAGAAGTTGGCTACATGCGCAGTGTATCGCATCGCCACCCTCTCGCACACCCACCCTCTTTGCTCCATGATGGGCAAGGGACTCCTCAAACGGGCTGAACCTCATGCCCAGTCAGCTGCCTTGATGACCCCAGCTATGCGGGGGAAAGTCAAGAGCACTGTTATGGAGGTGGACAAGCGTGTCCACACCTTAACTGAGAGCTTTGAGCCTTTTGCGCCTGAAGCTCACCCTGGTGATCGGTTATTGGACCGCTATGCAGACCGTCTCCATTTCGACAAGTGCGATCCTACCCAGGATAGGTGACCATATCTCAACGAGCTCATCGCGAAAGTGAGAGCTGACCCATTAACAGTACTGGCTGCAACTGATGGCTCTGTCCCTCAGTCCAACCAGCATCAGGCAGCGTCGGCTGCCATCATCTACAAGGGACATCGTGAGCTTGAAAGGACTTGCTATGTCTCTGGCAGAGTCACCGCCCCTGATGCGGAACTCAATGCCATCTTGTGTGCAGTGCGTCTTGCTGTCAAGCAGGCGAATTGCCAACATATCATGGTCTTTACTGACTCTATGGGCTCAGCCCACAGAGCGGTAGACCCCTCTGTGCATGCTGGTGAGGCTTTTAGCCTGTCAGTCTGTCGTGCGCTTCAAGGGTGGTTCAAGGCAGATGATGTCTGCCGCATCACCTTTGTCTACATTCCATCTGCTCTGCGGTGGGATATCCATGGTGAGGCACATAAGTACATCACTGAACTCAAGGTCAGGGTTGGACGTCACAAGACAGACAACTCTATTGACGTGCTCTGCTCCCAAGCTGTGCACTCAGTTCTGGATTCATGGAATTCCACTTTCCAGGATCCAACCTACTGGGGCTCTGAATTCTTAGAGCTTCAACGGCCTGACGGGCAGCCGATCCAGCCATTGTACCTCAATGGGGGACCTTGGCTTTCAACATTCGGACACAGTATTACTGAGTTTGCTTGTGTTTGCTGGTGTATAACTGGCCATGTGCCCATTGGAGCGTATTACCGTCGCTTCAAGATCAATGAGCCTCACGGCTGCACTTGCAGGGCTGCTCTGCAGTCTTGCCAGCACATTCTCTTTCGCTGTCACGATCAATATTCTGTACACTATCCCTGTTTTCTCAGGGATATTGCATCGTTTATGAAGTACAACCCTACGGCGTTTGGCTTCAACTGGGACCCCTCAGGTATTGGATAATTGTTTCGGGCGGGGTTATTCTTCCTTTCAGAGGATTTATCGGTGAATTGACACCCTCGAACCTTAGGGTTTGGAGACCTGTGCCCGCAATTATTTCTCCACGCTTGCGTTCCACTTTATAGTGGGTTGCAGCGCCACTAACTCTCTGTGTCTGGTTTCGGGCAGGCGCATCTTTGGCTTGTCGGCCTCAAGACACCTTGCCACCTCCCGGGTGGTGCTGTTTTCTTTCATTTGCGCTGTGTGGCCTCCGAACAGTGTTTGACGACTCTGGGGTTTAGCAGGGCCTCGATGGTCTCTTCCCCTTATCCTGTGTCACCATTTTCATGAGGTGGGTCTGGCTTTGTGGGAGTTTCAGCGTTTGAGCCACAAGGCCTGCGGTTGGGGAGGCGGATGTCTTTTAGTAGTTTACCTAGTACCCAGGCCACATAGCGTACGTGTTTGTAGATAGCGAGCAGGCTGCCATGGAGCACCACTATATAAATTGTTGATCAAAACAAAAAAAAAAAAATAGAGGGCTGATGAGTTGTGATCTGAGCGAATTTTAACATTGATGAGTGATGGAACTACAAGAAGAGTGCAAAGGCTCTCAGTCTCAACCATTACTCCAATTGTCAGAGAGGTGAGACAGCGGAAAGTTGATTTAGAAAGGTGTCCTTCAGCAAAGGTGATCTGGACAATCTGTGCAGCTCATGGCAGATATTGAGGTGCACTAGAGCAGGAAGTGTCAAGCTTGACCTTTTGCATGTGCTGTGCATATTGTTTGAAATGGTCCCAGTCATGAAGAGAAAGGGGTTGCTCAGAGAGCCTTAACTAAATGAACCATTGGTCAAGATATGATGCTATAACAAATAACTGTGGCAATCTTACCTCTCGTATTTCACCTCTACACCCACAATCTGATGAGCATTGAGATGGGGGAGAGCTGTAGTCATCATCCCAGGAGGCAATAGGGAGCAAGGCAAAGAGAGGGGAGAGATGGATCTGGAAGCGATGCCACAACTTGGCAAGAGCTGGTTGACAGAATATGGAAGAGACCAGTGCAATATTCAATAAATATGAAGGCTGATAAACATTGACAGAATTGACAATGCGAGCTACAAGCTCAGGAATGGATAGAGCAGAATGTGCCATTGGAAGAGAGGCGGGCATAGATAATGAAGTTCTGGGTATGGTGAGTCTGTGCTAATGATGCTAGATTGGTTCGGTACCACATCCAACACCACAAAAGCAGGCCAGAAAATGTAGGATCTGATGGTCTGAGACAGAGATGGATGGTAGATGGAAGTAAGAGGCAAAAGACAACTTAAAATGCCATCAACCAGCAAGTGTTTGTTTTGAGATTCCACAACAAACAGAGAATCTCATAAACCGTAATGGCAATAGTGGAATTCTGTTGGAATATAAGACATTTTTTTATGATTGAGGTATGATAATATACAGACAAAAATATAACTACTGATTAAAAGAGGCAGGTGAGACATGAACTCTTGGGGAGAGGAGGAGGAGGAGAAAGGCATTCAAAGGCGATGGGCAGGTGGGTGTCAGCATCCAGGGCCATTGTTGGATGTGATTAGTGGTTGTGGATGGATGAGAGGGATGGGGGCTGGTAGTTGGAGGGGCGAGAAGCATCATTGGTGGTGGTGGAAGTTGAGAGGGAGGGCAGGAGGGTGAGAAGGGGTGGGCAGGGCAGAGAACAACTGCAAATGAGACCAAACTTGGATGTTTGGCATCGTTCGTCGTCCTGGGTGGCCATTTGGACAGGGGAGGGGCGTCAGAAGGGGGAGAGGAGGTGGTGGTGATGATGGAGGGCGAGACATGGGCAGTTGAGGGTGCAAATGCTGAACATATGTGTTTGGCGTCCTTTGTTGTCGTCAGGGCTCTGTGGAGGCCTTTTGGATAGGCAAGAGGAGGGGGGGTTGTGGGCAGAAGTCAAGAGGGAGGGGGGAAGGGCAAGAAGGGGCAGGTGGGGTGCAGAACGACTGTGAATGCCAGGCTCGTTCGTGCACCGGGGCGTCGTTGGACAGCCCCTGGGGGTGTTGGATGGCGAGAGGCGGGGCAAGGGGGCAAGGGGGGTGGTGGTGGGGTGAACCAGGCAGGCGGCGGGGTGAGAACGAGCCCAAACGACCCTGAACATCGCAGTTTGGGTGTTCGTGCACCAGGGGCATCATTGGACAGCCCCTGGGGGTGTTGGATGGCGAGAGGCGGTGGCAGAGGGTGAGAGGGTGGTGGTGGGGTGAACCAGGCAGGCACCGGCAAAAAGACGAGCCCGAACAAGCCCGAACTCTGAAGTTCGAGCTCGTTCGTGCACCAGGGGCATCATTGGACAGCCCCTGGGGGTGTTGGATGGCGAGAGGCGGCAGTGGAGGGTGAGGAGGGCGAGGGGGTGGTGGTGGGGTGAACCAGGTGGGCAGCGGGGCAAGCAGGACCCCAAACGACCCTGAGCGTTGCAGTTCGGGGCAGTTTGTGCACCAGTGGGATGGCCCCTGGGGGTCTGGGACCTATGACACATGAAAACTCTCTGAGAGTTTTTGTGCATCATTTGTTTGCGTCCCTACAAACACTTGCTAAATTCGCTGGACCCCTTCCTCTTTCACAACTGCCATCATCTGGACTCCTCCACATGGTGTCGGAGGGGCGAGAGGAGGGGGTGGTGGTGGCGGAAGGTGAGAGGCAGGCAGTGCTAGATGGGCAGGCAGGCGGGACACAGAACTAGTGCGAACAATGCTGAACATGGAGGTTCAGCGTCGTTCGGTGTCCTTGAAGGCTGTTGGTAGGGGCGAGAGGCAGAGGGTGAGGAGGGCGAGCAGGTGGTCATGGGGTTGAGAGGGGCAGGTGGTGGTGGCTGAACAATTACTACAGTAGCCAGTAAAAATGCAGTGAACTATTGAAAATGTAGCTATGCCATCAATGTAATACTTACTGTGGGGAAAAAAGCATGGATGACCATAACATGGGAAAGCAAAATGATCTCCGTGTCCCAGGTTGAAAGAACGAGTCTTACTTATGTAAGAACTCATAACGAGGACCCTGTAACGAGCATACAGGCAGGAGGAGCAAGATGAGCATGGACATGACGAGTACGAGTGGCACATTCACCAAGGTACGTCGTTGCACGCTCTTCCTTGTGATGGCCACTCACCCATCTTCTGTGTCACATCCAGGACGATCAGCGTTGTCTGTGCAACTCCAGATGATGCTGACACATCCTTCCTCGAATATGCATGCCATCGCCGCCATTCCTCACTCGATGACCACATTGCAACCACGTCCCAACCTTGAATAAACCGCCTGCTGCCTCATTTCCACCTTGCGACCCACCTCCCTGCCCCCCTTCATGCATCGTGCATGGAGCCACATCGTCTCTTTGATGATGGGTAACGTTGTACGATGTTTGGGAGGCAAAAGGGTGCCAAATGTGGGGGGGGGAAAGGTGGCACGTAGAGCACCAATGTGCGACGGCGGGCACAAACCACCATTGCCAAGTATAACTCAGCGACAGTGACAGGATGAGGAGGTCGCGAGAGCAATGAGGACAAGCGAGCACACGCACGCATATGATGACGCTGAGCCACCGGCTCACGCATGACGATGATGAAGATGAGCGAGTGCGAGTACGACCACAGTCGTAGACCCACGGCCCACCTTTCTCACCTGCCCTTCCACACCTCCTTACACCCTCGTCCGCTGTACACAGAGCCATATCGTCCAAGAAATGATGTGTAACGCAGTGACAGATCTGGGGTGCAACAGGATGGTGAGGTGGGGAAGGGATGCTGGTGTGATGGCGGGACAAGGACAAACAAGGGCAAACATGACCTAGCATAGTGAGGGTGACGACAGGGCGATGAACACAGCATTACTGAGTTCGCCCGCGTTTGCCGGTGTATAACTGGCCACGTGCCCATTGGAGCGTACTATCGTTGCTTCAAGATCAATGAGCCTCATGGCTGCACTTGCGGGGCTGCTTTGCAGTCCCGTCAGCATATCCTCTTTCGCTGTCGCGATCGCTACTCCATGCATTACCCCCGCTTTCTTGGGGATATTGCATCTTTTATGAAGTACAACCCTTCAGCGTTTGGCTTCAACTGGGACCCTTTAGGTATCAGATAATTGTTTCGGGCAGGGTTATTCTTCCTTTCAGAGGATTTATCAGTGAATTGACACCCTCGAACCTTAGGGTTTGGAGACCTGTGCCCGCAATTATTTCTCCACGCTTGCGTTCCACTTTATAGTGGGTTGCAGTGCCACTAACTCTCTGTGTCTGGTTTCGGGCAGGCGCATCTTTGGCTTGTCGGCCTTAAGACATCTTGCCACCTCCCGGGTGGTGCTGTTTTTATTTCATTTGCGCTGCGTGGCCTCCGAACAGCGTCCGACGGCTCTGGGGTTTAGCAGGGCCTCGATGGTCTCCTCCCCTTATCCTGCGTCACCGTTTTCGCGAGGTGGGTCTGGCTTTATGGGAGTTTAGGCGTTTGAGCCATAAGGCTCGTGGTTGGGGGGGCGGACGTCTTTCAGTAGTTTACTTAGTACCCAGGCCGCGTAGTGTATGTGTTTGTAGATAGCGAGCGGGCTGCCATCGAGCACCGCTATATAAATTGTTGATCAAAAAAAAAAAAAAAAAAAAAAAACAACAGGGCGATGAGGACGTACCCAGCACACACACGGGAAACGAAGGACGACCAGCAGCACGATGAGGATGCAGACGAAGAAGACCAGCACGGCTAGAGGACTACCACAGCACGAGGACCAGCGCAGTGAGCAAGGCAGCAGTGGTGCGAACACGGCGGCGGCAGGGTGGATACGAACAGATGAGCATGGCGCGAGGCCCAGCAAGGTGCGAAGAGGGCGAGCATAGCGTGGCAGCTCCGTCCAAGCAGAAACGGTGTGTTGATGGCTCCGTTTCTGCTCTGTTTCTCTCTATCTTACAGCAGGTGGCTGGTAGAGCCACCTGCGCATGTCTTTAGTTTATCACAATTTTATGATTTTTTTCGCATTTTTTGGTGTGTTTTAAGTATACCCGAGTTCGCTGGACCCGATGTATATCCAAAAATAAATGACACCCAAGAAAACGCCGCGTCATCCAAAGTGGCCCCTCCTAATCCAGCCTATCCCGCCCCTGACAGCAGGCGAAATGGTGCAGAACGACGACAAAATATATTTCCTTGTTGTTGGCACCTTTTCCCAGTCGAAAACGGGGGCGGGAGCATCCCAAATGACGAGGAACAATGTTTCGGCACTGTTCACTGCATTGTTTGCATGTGTTGACAGGTCCCACCCACAGCTGCGAGCCCCGGCACACCCAGCAAGGCCACCCACCAGCCTCTCCATAGGTGGACTGTAAAATCACAGTCTTGACATATAAGCATACCTTGTAAAAATACAGTATCTGATATATTCTTGTGGCTTATAGAAGTGTTGAAGCTCTTTCAGAGGTGTAGCGCCGGTATGCGGGGCGTACCCCAAATCCAGCAAAGGATTATAGGTGTCGCGTCGATGCGAGAAGTGGAACAGCTTGGTCTTGTCATGTTCAAGTACGAGTGCAAAAGCAACAAAGAGAAGGTAGATAATTTTGTAGGCCTTATGCAGGCCCACATTATTGTCATCAAGTTGTTTGGATTGGGCCAGAATGGTCCCATTGTCCACAAAGGAGAGTAGCGTCGTGTTGAGCAGCGCTGTGCTTGGAAATTCTACCAGAGGTCTTTCGCCTAAACAGCGGCACCTCCTCTATAGATCGTGTGTGGTTCCCATTGCCACATACAGTTATCGCCTCTGGTATTTTGATGGCGCTTGTAATAAAGGCGCCATGAACCAGCTCAAGCAGATGCAGCAAAAAGCTGCTCTAGCACGACCTCTTTCTCTTGAACGCCCACTTGTCAACACATGTAAACAACCAGCTCACCGTCTCATTCGTCGTCCAACATGTTATCGACTCAACAGACCTTATCGCCTGAACATTTGCACTGCACTAGCAACTCATGTCCGACCTCCCTCTGAGAGGTCAGGACACAAGACCCCCTGGGATTCGTCATAGGGGCTCGGGCTCTGCCCCACCAGCAAACATACCAGCATCGGTCGCTGGCTCATCATCCTTGGGCGGTGGTGCCTCGCCAATCTCACCAGACCCTACCTCAACTAGGGCCACATACTCGACAGTTGTCCCAGCTCGATCCCACCACACATCGCCCCGCCGCAGGTCCCGCTCCACCACGGGTTCCACCCATTCATCTGAATATGAGTCTGACTCGGGGATGGCCCAACCGCACCAGGAGATGGAGGTGGAGGGCACTCAGGAAGGCGAAGAGGTCTCGAGGGACCCCTCCGTTGACCTTCTTCTAGGTCAATATGCCTTGAAGTTCTGAGATACCATTGAGGACCTTCCTGGCGATCTTGAGGTATTGACCACCTCCATTGCGAAGGCCACAGACTGGGTTCTGCAGGCCACACACCACGATCTGCTCTCCATCGATGGGGGCAATGCCTTTGTGGCTCAGATGACGGCCTTCGTGAACGCCATCTTGGCCACCAACTTTGGTCATATTTGCGGACCAGGCGAACTCAACAACTTCTCGCTCGCCTCTCTCCTTGAGGCCGAGACATCTTCCAAGGACGAGCCAACTATCCACCTGGCTCCTGTGTTCAGGCCTCCTCCTCCTGCTGCCCGTGGGCCACTTGATGAGGGTGCCGGTGTTGGAGTTTCCTCCAACATCCTCATGCAGGCATTGGACAACCTTGGTTGCCTGGCCTCCCCTTCTCGCATCCCCGCTTCCAAGAAGTGCAAGGGTGTCAATCACCCAGTCCCACCTCTGCCTCAGAAGAAGAGCAAGGTGGCCTACTCTCGTCCTGGTCTGCCCCCACCGATCAACTGCGCTACCAAACCCAAGCCCCGTCCAACGATGTGGGCAGGGATTGCTCGTCAGGCCGCGCTGATGCCTCCCCTGCCTCCTGGCTTGGGACCGCAACGTCGTGGGCCTTCTCCTCCACCCTCATTCCCAATGGGTCCGATGAAGACCTCTCCTCATTGATCTGTTCCTTCTTTCACTTCTGAGGGCCCCACCCAGAAGCAAGTTCTTGTGTCATTCGGGGGTACCCCTCCCAACCTCACAAAATTCTTCACCGAGTCGGCTGTCCGTGTGGCCAACGGGTATCTCAGGGATGGCCACTCCATGTTGAAGGTCACCTCCATCGTCCATGCCTACGATGGCCTGTCATTAGTCACCCCCGCAGTTGCCAGTCCATCCGACTTGGACGTACTGCGCAACTTTATTCACGAAAGCCTCCCAACAGGTACTCCGTTTGAGGTTGCGCTCCCATTGTCGACATATTTTATAAAGATCCTCAATGTTCCTTACTTCGATCCGAAGGGGTTGAAGATCACCCAGGAGGCGCTTGAAAAGGCTCTCCGTACCTCGGTTCATGCTGAGGTCTTCGCATATCTGAGCACCAAGCCTCGGATCGACCGCAACTCGGCGCACTCGACATCGTGCACCGTCTACTGCAACATCTGGGACTCCCAGCAGGGAACCCGTGCCAAGAAGGCCCTTGGCCAACCGATTTTCCTTGCTGGACGGTCCTGCGCAATCAGGCCCGCCGCAAGACACACCGGGGTCCCACTATGCCAGCGCTGCTGGAAGTGGGGCCACCCCACCGTCGCCTGCAAGGCGAAACAACTCTCCTGCCCCATCTGTTCAGGTCCGCACGAGCAGAAGGAGCACCGTCAACATGCGGGATGTTGCAAGGGCAACACGAAAGCGAAGCCCCCTGTGCCGCCCACCCCTGCCCCCATAAGGGCCGCTGTGTCAACTGCCACAAGGACCACACTGCCAACTCGGCGTCGTGCAAGTTCTGGGCCCATCGCTACGACCGTGAGTGGATCATGGCCGAGTATCGTCAGGTACGTGAGCACGTTGCTCACCACCACCAACTTACTAACCCCCGAACCTAGACTAATGTTGGGAAACCAACAGGATCTAAATAGTGGGCTACATATTTTTTGTCAGAATGTTCGTCACACCTATGCGCACGTAGATACTCTTCTAGAAATTTGTAAAACAAAATTTGATATTTTATTCTTCCAAGAAACCCCTTGGAATTTCATAAGACATGCACCGTCCACCACTAGTATGGAGGGCAATGAGGTTATCGGTGCACCAAAGCATCTGGACTGGCTGCAGGTGGTGCGCATTAAGGAAGGGGAAGTTCCCTGTGTGATCGCCTATGTTTCAACTAGGCTATCCCACTATCATCCTGCTATGCACTGCAACATCATCGACCATCATGACATTCTCGTTCTCTCCCTCTTTAGCAGGGGTGAGGTTCTCAGTCTCATGAACATCTACTCTGATGACCAACACACCGCCATTGAGCTCCTTGCTGCTCGTGTGCATTCTTTGCCACCTTTCATTTATATGGCAGGCGATTTTAACTGCATGTCCACGACTTGGGATGACTATGAGCATGGTGAGTCATCGACGGCAATATCCCTGCAGGACACTGCATCTCAGATCGGCCTTGAGTGGGCACGACCTTCTAACCATGGACCGATGAGGATCAGTCCCAATCCATTCCAGAGATCCAACATATTGGATCTTGTATTCTTAGCTCCGTCTGAGATCTTAATCTCGATGCCCAGATTGGAGCACAAGCTCCAGGGTCCATCAGATCATATCCTGATCTGTACGGATCTTGATATTGGTCCCGAACCACCTGGATCTGGGCGTCGGACAATTAAACCTGGAAGCAAGGCTGAAAAGTCTTTCATTTTGGACATTCTCCAGGATCTTGCAGCTATTCCTGTCGCAGCCCCGGTAACCAAGGAAGGCATTGAAGCTTTAGCCAATGCTATCGCAATGGCGTTCTCGGATGCGTGGCTAGCCCACTCGACCGAGTCCAAACCTACCAAGCGCTCCAAGTCCTGGTGGACAGACGAGTGTTCAGAGACATTTGGAGCATCATTTTTTTTTTTTTTTTTTTTTTTTTTTTTCTGATCAACAATTTATATAGCGGTGCTCGATGGCAGGCCGCTCGCTATCTACAAACACGCATGCTACACAGCCTGGGTACTAAGTTAACTACTTAAAGACGACTGCCCCGATTACCTGACCCCTGAAGGGTCCCGGGTGAAGCCAAATGCTGTGGGGTTGTACTTCATAAAAGATGCAATATCCCCAAGAAAGCGGGGGTAATGCATGGAGTAGCGATCGCGACAGTGAAAGAGGATATGCTGATGGGACTGCAAAGCAGCCCCACAAGTGCAGCCATGAGGCTCGTTGATCTTGAAGCAACGGTAATACACTCCAATGGGCGCGTGGCCAGTTATACACCAGCAAACACGAGCGAACTCAGTGATACTGTGTCCGAATGTTGAGAGCCAAGGTCCCCCATTGAGGTACAATGGCTGTAGCGGCCGCCTGTCAGGCTGTTGAAGCTCTAAGAACTCAGAGCCTTGGTAAGTTGGATCCTGGAAAGTGGAGCTCCACGAATCCAGGACTGAGTGCGCAGCTCGAGAGTGTAGCGCGTCTATAGAATTGTCCGTCTTGCGATGTCCAACCCTGACTTTGAGTTCGGTGACGTACTTGTGTGCCTCACCATGGATATCCCACCGCAAAGCAGAGGGAACATAGATAAAGGTGATGCGGTGGAGGTCATCCGCCTCAAACCACTCTTGGAGAGCACGACAAACCGACAAGCTAAAAGCCTGACCAGAGTGCACGGAGGGGTCGACCGCTCTATGGGCTGAGCCCATAGAGTCAGTAAAGACCATAATATGTTGGCAGTTTGCCTGCTTGACAGCAAGGCGCACTGCGCACAAGATGGCATTGAGCTCCGCATCCGGGGCAGTAACTCTGCCAGAGACATAACGAGTCCTTTCGAGCTCACGGTGTCCCTTGTAGATGATGGCAGCTGAAGCCGCCTGATACTGATTGGACTGAGGGACAGAGCCATCAGTTGCAGCCAGTACTGTTAATGGGTCGGCCCTCGCTTTCGCGATGAGCTCGTCAAGATATGGTTGCCTATCCTGGGCAGGATCGTGCTTGTCAAAGTGGAGACCGTCTGCATAGCGGTCCAGTAACCGATCGGCGAAGGGGGTGGGTGTCTGAGAGGGTGGCTACGCAATACACTGCGCGCGTCACCAGCTTCTTCAGCATAAGATGGACGGGGATGAGACCTGCCCGGGCCTCAAGACCACCTGTGGGGGAGGTGCGGAAGGCACCCGTGATCCATAGAGCAGCTTTTCGCTGCATCCGTTTTAACTGGTTCATCGCGCCTTTATTATGGGCGCCGTCGAAATACCAGAGACGATAGCCATATGTGGCAATAGGAACCACACACGACCGATATAAGAGGCGGCGCTGTTTCGGCGAGAGACCTCTAGTAGAGTTCCTGAGCATGCGCATGGCCTGCACGGTGGTGAACGCCTTGGTGGTGTAGTAGCGGACGTGCTCATGGAATGTGAGCCCATGGTCAAAGTAGAAGCCCAAGTACCTCCAATAGGTCTTGGGCTTCAAAGGTGTAGCGCCAGTATGTGGGGCGTACCCCAAATCCAGCGAGGGATTGTAGGCGTCTCGTCGACGCAAAAAGTGAAACAGCTCGGTCTTATCATGTTCAAGAACGAGCGCAAAGGCAACAAAGAGAAGGTAGATAATCTTGTAGGCCTTACGCAGGCCCACATCATTATCATGAAGTTGTTTGGATTGGGCCAGGATGGTCCTGTCATCCACAAAGGAGAGTAGCATCGTGTTAAGCGGCGCTGCTTTGACATAGAAGAGCTTCATCACCGGAGCAATGAACAGCCCTGAAATAACAGGCGAGAGAGCTGAGCCCTGCCCAACACCCACGTCCGCAGACCGCGAGTCAGATTGGAAGGTGTTCCAGCAGTAGACTGTGGAACGACCAACAAGATAGGAGGCAAAGAACTCCACCAGAACCGGCGAGAACCCTTGCTTGCGAAGTACAGCCATGAACATTTCATGGTTCGAGGTGGGTCTGGCTTTATGGGAGCTTCGGCGTTTGAGTCATAAGGCTCGTGGTTGGGGGAGCGGACGTCCTTTAGTGGTTTACTTAGTACCCAGGTCGCATAGTGTACGTGTTTGTAGATAGCGAGCAGGCTGCCATCGAGCACCGCTATATAAATTGCTGATCAAAAAAAAAAAAAAAAAAAAAAACATTTCATGGTTGATAGAAGGGAAGAACTGCGCAATGTCAAAAGCCAGCGCGCTAGTCTGGAGACCCTTAACCCACCCCGCTCACACGAGATGAGTCAGAATCAATCCAGCATCCTCAGTTGACCTCTGGCGGATGCCGCCAAGTTGGTTGGGATGGAAGATATCATGCTTGACAGCGTCAAACTGTATCCTATTGGCAATCATCTTTTTGATAAGTTTACTGAAAGTGATGAGGAGCACGATCGGCCTGAAGGCCTTCGGTATGGAATAGGAGGGCTTGTTCGGTTTCGGAACGATAACCGATAGCGACTCCTTGAATATATGCGGCCAATGACCCACCCGAAGGCAAGCGTTGGCCAGCACGATGAAGAGCGCAAGGACGTGTTTATCCTTGAGCAGCTCCTTTAGGTGGACCCATGTAACGTGGTCCGGTCCTGGTGCAGAGGAGTTGGAGCACCCCTTAAGGGCACTCAACAACTCATGCTCCGAGAAGTCAGCCCACTCGCGGACCGGCTCGTCGGGAAGCTCGTCTAAGACTGAGGCGTCGTACTCGCGACCAGAGGCCGAGTTGTACGTGCCGTGCAGGGCGTCCCAAAGGTCGTCCATATCGTGGCAAGGCTGTTCGCCATTGCGAATAGCCTCACAGGGGGGTAGCTTGCGCTGTTTGACCCATTCCATTAGGTCCCATGGGCGCTTGCGAGAAGTGGCGATCTCTGCAATGCATTCATCGAAGAAGTCACACTTGGCGTCCTTACACACCTTCTTAAACTTGTTGTAATCAGCGAGCAAGCGGCTCAACTGATATACTCCGAATGTCTCTGAGCACTCGTCCGTCCACCAGGACTTGGAGTGTTTGGTAGGTTTGGACTTGGTCGAATGGGCAAGCCATGCGTCTGAGAATGCTGTCGCGATAGCATCAGCTAAAGCTTCAACGCCTTCCTTGGTTGCCGGGGCTGCAACAGGAATAGCCGCAAGATCCCGGAGAATGTCCGAAATGAAAGACTTTTCAGCCTCGCTCCCAGGTTTAATTGTCCGACACCCAGATCCAGGTGGTTCGGGACCGATATCAAGATCTGTACAGATCGGGATATGATCTGACGGACCCTGGAGATCGTGCTCCAATCTGGGCATTGAGATTAAAATCTCAGATGGAGCTAAGAATACAAGATCCAAGATGTTGGATCTCTGGTTTGGATTATTGCCATCGACGACTTGCCATGCTCATAGTCATCCCAAGTCATTGACACGCAGTTGAAGTCACCAGCCATATAAATGAAAGGTGGTAGAGAATGCACACGAGCAGTGAGGCGCTCAATGGCTGTATGCTGATCGTCGGAATAGACGTTCATTAAGTTAAGAACCTCACCCCCGCTGAAGAGGGAGAGGACGAGGATGTCGCGATGGTCAACGATGTCACAGCGCATAGCGGGACGATAGCGGGATAGCCTAGTTGACACATAGGCGATCACATGGGGAACTTCCCCTTCCTTAATGCGCACCATCTGCAGCCAGTCGGGATGCTTTGGTGTGCCGATAACCTCGTCGCCCTCCATACTAGTGGTGGACGGTGTGTGTCTTATGAAATTCCAAGGGGTTTCTTGGAAAAATAAAATATCGAATTTTGTTTTACAAATTTCTAGAAGAGTATCAATGTGTGCATACGTATGACGAACGTTCTGACAAAAGATACGAGGCCCACTACTTAGATCCTGATGGTTTCCCAACATTAGTCTAGGTTTGGGGGTTAGTAAGTTGGCAGCGAGCAGCGTGCTTACGTACCTGACGATACTCGGCCATGATCCACTCACGGTCGTAGCGATGGGCCCAGAACTTGCACAAAGCTGAGTTGGCAGCGTGGTCCTTGTGGCAATTGACACAGCGGCCCTTGTGGGGGCAAGGCTGGTCGCGAGGGGTGGGCGGCACAGGGGGTTTCGCTTTCGTGTTGCCCTTGCAACATCCCGCATGTTGACAGTGCTCCTTCTGCTCGTGCGGACCCGAGCAGATGGGGCAGGAGAGTTGTTTCACCTTGCAGGCGACGGTGGGGTGGCCCCATTTCCAGCAGCGCTGGCAGAGCGGGACCCCGGTATGTCGTGCGGCGGGCCTGATCGCGCAGGACCGTCCGGCGAGGAAAATCGGTTGGCCTAAAGCCTTCTTGGCACAGGTTCCCTGCTGGGAGTCCCAGATGTTGCAATACACGGTGCACGATGTCGAGTGTGCCAAGTTGCGGTCGATCCGAGGCTTGGTGCTCAGATATGCAAAGACCTCAGCATGAACCGAGGTGTGAAGGGCCTTCTCAAGCGCCTCCTGGGTGATTTTCAACCCTTTCGGATCGAAATAAGGGACATTGAGTATCTTTATAAAGGATGTCAACGATGGGAGTGCGACCTCGAAGGGGTACCCATTGGGAGGCTCTCACGGATGAAGTTGCGCAGTATGTCCAGGTTGGACGGACTGGCAACAGCGGGGGTGATCAACGACAGGCTGTCGTAGGCGCGGACAATGGAGGTGACCTTTAGCATGGATCGACCATCCCTGAGATACCCGTTGGCCGCACGGACAGCCGACTCGGTGAAGAATTTCGTGAGGTCGGGAGGGGTACCCCCGAACAACACGAGAACCTGCTTCCGGGTGGGGCCCTCGGAAGTAAAAGAAGGAACGGACCGATGAGGTGAAGTCTTCATCGGGCCCGTTGGGAATGCGGGGTCCCAAGCCAGGAGGCGGGGGAGGCATCGGAGCGGCCTGTTGTGTGATCCCTGCCCATGTCGTTGGACGGGGCTTGGGTTTGGTAGCGCAGTTGATTGGTGGGGGCGGACCAGGGCGTGAGTAGGCCACCTTGCTCTTCTTCTGAGGAGGAGGTGGAACTGGACGATCGACACCCTTACGCTTTTTAGAAGCAGGGATGCGAGGAGGGGAGGCCAGGCGACCAAGGTCATCCAGTGCCTGCATGAGGATGTCAGGCAGA